AGAAAGAATGTTTAAATGTACATTTGACAATACTATAGCAAAAAAAGAAGGAAATTGAAAACCACGTTGTAAAAAAACAATAAAAGAAACGGGAAAAATTAACCAAAAGGTAATAATATAGAAATTAGCGGAAAATTGGGACGACAACGAACATGAAAAGGAAAAGAACAAAAATAATTCAAAGGGTGACGAAACGATTAATTTTAATAATTAGAGTAAAGAGGAATAAATTTTTGAGGATTCAAATTGAATTTGTGCATTCAAACTCCCCGGGGCAGTCTTTAAGATTTCTCATTATTTCTAGGTTCTCAAAGTTATTAGGAGTTGACCTGTTGTAGGTATTGTGTAAAATTTTAAAATCGCCCGAAGAAACAAAGTCATATCCTGTGTCTAATAGATGGTTGGCAAAATGAGAAAATCCTGTATAGTTCTGATTCAAGCTGTGTTCCTTCAATCGTATTTTGAAATTACATAAAGTCCTACCTACATAGACTGAGTTGCAAGTATTAATTTATAAACCTCGGATGAGTCTAAGATGTCAATTTTATCCTTATTCCTAATAAATAACTTATTAATAGAGTTGGAGCTCCTGAAGGAATCCTTAAAATGGTCTTTAAAAAGGATAGCCACTTTATTAAAAATACTACCTTTAAAGGTAAGAGAAATAAATTTCTTATTAGTAATTTGTTCAGGTATCACAATTGTGTGTGGATTGTTAATAAAAATTAAATTCTGTTGAGTTTTATTTTGTTTTTTCCTTTCCAATCTTATTTTCTCCACATTATTTGTTTTAATTTTTATATTTTTAATTTTCTAGATTTACAATTCGACAGTCTATGTATTATGATTTATATTTATCAAAACTTGTCAAAAATACTTTTTTGTTCTTACTTCAATTCCAACCACTCCATAATAGAAGACACACTTATCATTTGTCAGTCATCAATTTACTTTTCAAATTTAAATAATGTGTTTTAGCAAATCTTTTCTTTTAGCTGGTCTTGGACATTTTGTCTTGGCCTTTCAATAATAATAATTTTATTTGTTTTGTTAAATGTTAGCTTTAAATATCATTGTTTTATCCAGGGCCGACTAGAGGGGGGGGTGTAGCCAGGACATATTCCTGGGGCCTGGGCTCACATGGGGGCCCAGCCAAGTAGAGGAAAAGTTTTAGCGCTAGTGCTTGAGGACTTTGAGGAAAGTTTTTGTTTCAAAATTTTTTTTTGTCACGGGGCCCGATCTAGAGAATAGTCCTGGGGCCCGGCCTGGCTCTCGGCGGCCCTGGTTTTATCATTTGTGACGTTACGCAACAATCATTAAAGTTTAAGTAAGTTGTTGGCCCTTTAATGAATGTGACGGTAAAATCATTTTATAAAATAAGAATTATTAAATCTAACTTTTATAGGTAGGTACTAAAATTTATTGTTATCAAAAATAAGGTCTTAAATATTACCACTACCCCCCCCCCCCCAGACTTTATTATTACTACCCCCCAGACTTAAACTCTGAATGCGCCACTGAAATAACATTTGATAATAATAATTATTTGGGGTCACAAAGATTTCTCAAATAAAAATATTTAAGGTATTTATCGCGGCATATACCAACATAAACGTTTATGGTAGATTATTACCAATTTTTGGCGAGCTCCCGGTGATCAAACTGTATTACCCGCATCATTTTTGCGACGTGAACCGCTCAAGGGGAAGTGTAATGACGTCATTCACTGACGTCATCGTTTGCTACCGCCGTGATGAATCTGTTCCCGGCCTCTTGAGGTGGTGAACAAACGGTCGATAATGACAGTTGACGTTCATAGCATTCTGTAATACCGTTTTGTTTTGGAATTTTTGGTAGCTGCCAGAGTTGCGTTTTATTTTGTGCGTTCATATTTTTATTTTATGTATAATAGTTTTCGTTGAACTGTCTCTAAATTCTATTTGAATTTGTTATTTAAAAGAAAAATTGTCTGTCTTGCTCAATTTTAGATTTTTCACAGTTTGTTTATTGTTAAATACCTTTTAAATACACATAACATAACCTCGTTTATCTAAAACGTTGACGATTGACGTAAACCGGTTCATTTTTGCGAATAATTTTTTTAGAAACCGAGACATAGTAGTGGGGGCATTTGACATGTCACGGTTTCTGTGTCACTGTTTATCAACGGGAGCACGCCAAAAAATGCTTTATATGTTATTTATGCTGCGTTTGAGAATCCACATCGGATGCATTTTTTACATCTCGAGCGTTTTTTTATCCACATCGGACACATCTGTCCCATTACATTTGCCGCGTTTGAGAATCCACATCGGATGCATCTGAGATGTTGCGAATTTTTTATCACGTGATAGAGAATTAGATCTGAATGTAGATGTAATAAACAAACGCTCTAGACTTTATTTGGTCACGTGATAAAATGTCAATGACATGTTAGAAGTTTATACTTATTAAATTTGACTTTTGAAACTACAAATCAACCTAAATTTGAAATATAAACAAAAATTAAACAAACTAATCACTTTTATATTCATGCTAGCATAAACAAAGGATAAATTGACAAACAAGGCTTCACAAAACACTTACTTTCTGGCATGGAACGAACATCTCATTCACATCTCATTCCAAATCGAGATGTAAAAAATGTAATCTGAACAGGTACATCTGGGATAAACAAACGCAGATGTAGATGTAGTAGATGTGTCCGATGTGGGATAAAAAAACGCTCGAGATGTAAAAAATGCATCCGATGTGGATTCTCAAACGCAGCATACGTATACTGAATCACGTGATCAAAGATTTTTTACATCTCAGATGCATCCGATCATCCGATGTGGATTCTCAAACGCGGCATTAGGCATGATCTTTCATTTTGGCCGATATCAAGGACCGGAGGGGAGGTTGTAATGACGTCACTGTTTAGCATACTGGAACATGATCTCATCCACAGGCGGTTATGTTTGACAAATGACTTTTGGACGGTATACAAAGACAAAAATGGCTTTAATTTTAAAATTTAAATTAAATAAGATTGAAATTGAAGTGGAGAAAAGTGACGAAATTATTCAACAATTAAAGTATAGTAAATATAAATAAATTTAAATAGCATAAGCAAAATTTATTGTAATTTTTAGACAATATATTTAGGCACGTTAAATATTAATATAAAATAATTAAACGGTATTTACTCTTAGGAAAAATCGCGTCGTTTACACACAAATGAGTAATTGAAATAATAAAAAATTTTTACTTCAACTGACTGCCCACTTTCAAAACTTATAGTAAATATAAATAAATTGAAATAGCATAAGCAAAATTTATTGTAATTTTTAGACAATATATTTAGGCACGTTAAATATTAATATAAAATAATTAAACGGTATTTACTCTTAGGAAAAATCGCGTCGTTTACACACAAATGAGTAAATGAAATAAAAAATTTTTACTTCAACTGACTGCCCACTTTCAGAACTGCATGGATTTTCCATTTTCGCGCCAACATATACACTAATGTGGTGGGGGATAGACGAACATGATCTAACAACATTCTTGGTTATATGTATATCTACAGACATATCTATGAACAACATGACGGGAAAAATACTTTTTTCCTGTTTCAGGTATCCAAAGGCAGGCAACACAAACAAAAGAAATTTTAAATACTGGTTGCCTATGTTAAATCTCCTAAATTACCTATCTTAAAAAATACGGCAAACTACTGGTAGATACCAAACTATTTGACTACATACCTGCATAAATAACAGATTTAAAATAGTCAAAATTAATGAAAGTTGTAAAATAACAGTCTAATTATTATCGTTAAGTACAGTTTAATTATCTTAAAAAATACTTTTACCTACATTTCAAATATTTTTAAATTTTGTGTTTTCATGAGTTAGGTACCGATAGTGGAAGAAAAAGGTATTACCTAATTTGTACGATACAGTCTCGCATTCAATCAGTGGTTTTATGCTGTAATTTTTTATTTATTTTTCCTTTACATTTTTTTAAACCTTTTGGTACCTAGGTATAATATAGATTTTTGTTTTTTATCTCATAAATGTTTTTGTTTTATTTATAACCGCACCTATAGATTTAGTTTGTTATCCTCACATCACGTCATTATTGACAATATTTACATAAACATGTAATAGATATATACTTACAATAATATATAATTTCATTAGCTGCTTACCTCGATTACTCCTATACCAACTTTTGCTGCAAACTTTCGCTTTTTGCTGTGTGGTTCAACTTCATCTGCGTTAGAAGAAAAAGTGGACGACACGATCTCAGACAAAGTTGTACTTCTGTGCATTTCTATATATCCAATTTCAATTCATTTAGGACTCTTTAAATTAAATGTTCTTGAACGCAAGACATATTGCGTTCGTTTAATTAAATTGTAATAATTAGGTTCCTACTATAACTACGATATTTTTTGTTATATCTTTTATCTCTTATCTTTTTGATTATTCATTATCATTTATCAGTAACATGATGTTTCAATGGATATACAATTAATTTATGTTCAAAGATCTTATTGTGTAAACCTACGTACACGGTACCTATTTAAGTCTCTTTATTTTTTACAGGTAGGTACCTATACGATCTTTAATTTCAAAAATCACAAACAGCTGTTTGGTCGTTTACGATTTGTATAGCGGTTTATCAATAAATCAACAGTACACCAAATGTTTATTGTTTATTCGCCTTATAAAATAAAATTGTGGCAATTAAAAATTAATAGATAAGAAATTTACTGAGACAATAATCGATGTTCCTTTGAATGATAGTTTAAACGCCTACCAAGTGTACCATTTTTCTTACTTATTTTAAAAATAATGATAAGGTAATTTGAAGATTATTTATTTGTTGTGATAATTTTATGATTTTTCAAATTAAATTTTTTAAAGTCTTCTTCTTATTTTCCCTTTTCCCATTAGGATAACAGGCTACCTCTTTAGCTACTCACACGATGAATAATGTCATTCGTCGTGGCCACCGATATAATTTCTATATATTTTAGATTTGTATTTATGATTTACACATATTTATTTCCAAATAAATAAATATTTTAATATGAATAGGAATAAAAAAAAGAGTTTAAATACCAAGTTGATGTCTTCTTTTTTAACAGATATTCTATGATACGTCAAAATTCAAAACATCAACATGTCAGTTTTATTTATATTTTAGGTTAAGAAAATGTCAAAAACCCAAATTTTAAAAGAATATAGAAAAAATGTAACAATACTAAAGAATAGTGCCAAAAACTTAGGTTTAAGTAACAAAGAAATCGACTGCCTTTTTAAAGAATCATTTGTCGAGTTGAAAAAAGAACTAAACGGTTCAGAAAATATACCTAAACGTACCAAAAGTAACAAAATCTGTACTCATTTTAGAAACGTATTCGTACTTTTAATTGTTATTTCCTTTTTTATTTATATTTTATTGAATGTTCATCAACCTACTTCCAGTATTGTACTAAGAAATGTTCAAGGACTGACCTATCCGACCTTGAAATTTGTAAGATTCTTAGCAGTGCCTATAATTAAATATTTTCCATCTTTAACAGGTAATTTTTTTGTTATACACATTGTCCTTGTTTGGTTAGCTATTAAAAAAAAAATGTAATTTATAATTGTTTTCTAATATTTCAGATTTGTATGATGAAACATGTCTTCTGGAAAATCCTTATTTTTACGTATCAGATATGGAATGTTGGCCTTGCGAAAATGTATTTGCAGTTCTAAATCTTACAAAAGTAGAGAACGGTTACCTCAAATCTGGTTATGGTACTCCTTTTATAACAAAGGTAGGTACTTAATTACATAGTTTGGTGGCCATTTTTTTTTAACAAATGCTGGACAGTCGAACGACTGGGGGAGAGGGGAGGCAGAAATCTAAACTGGAAAACAGAACCACACAGAACTCCATTATTTCTTTAAATAAAAATTATACTTCTAAATAACGCAAACAACAGGAAGAACATAAATGGCATAAATAAAATCCAACAAAAAAAATCCAGTGTTCTTTTTATCTTAGCCGAAAAACCACCAAGTAAACAAAGACAACAGCTAACTAAAGAGCACAGCAGGAGGATCAGCTAATTAGGGGCTAAATGTTTGATAGTTTACTGGACAATAATAGCCTTTTACAGGACAATAATGTGTGGTATTATGCTTTACAAATTTACAAAATCAAATGCTGGACAGACTTTGAAAATACTGTAATATACAGTGAAATGCAGTACTTATGGGCACCCTAGCTTTGCACACACTAATAATTATCTTTCTGTTTATTTTACTTTCCCTGGATATAGTTATTTTTAAAATTGTTAATACCCCACTTATTACTAAGTATTTTTTGGAAGCTGTTTTCAAAATATACACTATTCTCATTTTTTACCCAAAGTATTTATTTAATAAAAAGGCTTTTTCCTGTTTTCAGTCAAACCAACAGATGGTGGATCTAAAAATTCTACAAGATATTTACAATCAAAATAAAAATATCTTAAATTCAGAAACAAAAAGACTGGAATCAACTAATTCATCATACACCAATTTAAAAGACTTATTTAGTAATAATGTGGAGTTATCATCCCATACACATATCTCATGGCGTATTACCAAAATGGCCACAGCTCGTGTCATCCGTCAAGTCTTCCCAAAACCTTTTTTCCTTCCTGAAAGATCAGGTCAAAGTGTCGAGAGATTTTTGATGATAGATGGGGCTAAAGCGGAACCCTATGTACTGCCTAATACTGAATGCAGCTATGTTTTTGTCATACAAGCCTCAGGAGAAAGAAGTATAGTACTGAAGCCATCTAAAGAATGCAGTAATAGCTGCAAGACCATATCTATTGTACTCAAACCCTCGTATGTCTGTAAGTGAAACAATGTTATTTAATTGCTTTTTTATAGTTTTAATGTATTTTTTTTTAGTATGGTACAACTGGTGGTACTGGCGGCCTATAAGTCTTCCCATTACAAACTCCAGTGAACCTTCCATAACTTATATCAATTCTTATTGTTAACTGCGTTTTTTACATAACCACATTATTTATTTATAGTGTAAAGTCTAAATACTATCAATAAATATGCACCAAATTGATCGAAACGGAAACCATAAACGACCAACAAGGTCACCTGATTTAAACCCTTTTTTTATTTATATTTGTCTTCTCTGTGGCTATTTATCCTTCACATGGTTCACTATTTTTGAAATTAAAAAGTGCTCTAGTAATGGCCAACAATGACATACTTTTTCTTTTAAAAACTTATATTCTTTTCTGTGGCTATTCAACCCTTGTAATATTTTAGAATTAACTGTACAAAGCATGCTGCTCATGCCCAACAAGATCACCTGATGCAACCCTTTCAGACGTTATCCTTTGAAAATGTCTTCTTTTTGACTATGTAACCCTTGTAGGGCCCTTACCTGCCTTAAGCATAGCTAGTGGATTTTTACATAACCCTTTTTGACCAATTTGGACATAGAGAAACTAGTATATCCTGAATAATAAAAATTTGAAGAACATAAAAACGTTTAAAATACTTGTTATTAATTTCAGAAGTGGGATCAGTTTTTCACTTTGAAGCATATTTATTGAGAAATTTTGATGTCAGTTCAAAATATATCGCCACCCTAAATGATCTATAATTTTACAAATAATGTATTTAGCGTTTTTTTTATAATAAAAGGCTGATTTTATTCAAACGTGTTTTTATTTATTTCTCACACATTTTTGAGCATCAATTTTTGAACTAAAATTTCTTACCAACTAAATAACTAATAGACCTGCTCAAACTAATAGAAAAACGACAAACAACTTAATAATACTGAGCACAAATAATTTATTACTTACAGGGAACAAAAAATGAATAAATTAAAATAATTTATATATATTATCAACCCCTATTTTTGCTTTTATGGAATGGTTACTTCAAAGGAATATAAAAAAATGCAAAATAGTTTTTTACAATTTACAACCATTTTTTTCACCAGTCGTCCAAAAATTTAGCAATTATTCTATTAGTCCAGGATCCGTAAGTAAGGTCGACGTTCACCCATCTGTTTAATGGATAAAAGTTATTTTTTATTAAATAAAATATGTTTTTAAATATACCGTAAATGGGTTGCCTAAGAAAATACGGCCACCGCCATTTTTTACTTTCCTCTCTGTGTACAGATAAGGAAAGTATAGGAATCATGATAAAAGTCGTTTATGATGTCATTCTCTATTATTTTGTCTCTATACATGATTTTCCTAAAATGGACCTAATTTGAGATATTTGATGAAAAGTGCAAATTTTGAAGATAACTCAAAAACGGATTAAGAGAAAAACACCAAATTTTGAACATAAGCTTTAATCTATCCTGCGATGAGCTGATTAAAGTTTGAGCACAGTCAAAGTATTTGGGGAATACTTTACAGGGAGTCGTTTTTTTTTACTTTAAGAAAATAAATAGTCTGGACCGAATTTTCTTAGGCAACCCATTTGCGGTATATTTAAAAACATATTTTATTTAATAAAAAGAAAGTTTCATCCATTAAACAGATGGGTGAAGGTCGACCTTATTTCGGATCTTATATGTACATTGTATAACCTGGTATGAAAGAAACGATATTTACGACAAACAAAAGTGACAGATTCTAAATCCACGTCGACAGCACAATCCAAATTTCAGATATACCAGAGAATCCACAAGCCATCACTCAATTTTCTCCCTCAACTTCCCCTTCAAAAATATCGGTATCAGCGACACGAACCCGAACAGAATCAACCACATCACAGAGGACATACTGAAGGCTGCATCACTGGCGGTCATCTCGTTCAAAGTCTGTCCGCCCTGTATGGCGATAAAGGACGGTGGCGCCACCCCAACGAACGTTCCGAACGCGAACGGATACAAAGGCACTCCGATAACTGGCGCGGTCAAATTGATGAACCAATTCGGCAAAAACGGCGTCACCCTGAGGAACACGATGTAATTGAACATGTTGGACTGATGCCTCTCCACTTGTCTGGCCCACGCTTCCGCTTTTTCAGGGTAGTAGTGGAGGACTAGCTTTCTACCGAGGAGTTGGGAAAGGAGGAAGCAGAGCGATGCTCCGACCATTGAGCAGGTGCAGACTAAGGCGAGGGCTGTGAAGAAGGGGAATAGAAAACCTGAGAGGATTGATAGGAATAGGGATCCTGGAATGGCGAACGTTTGAAGGCTAGATTATTGTTAAGGCAAATATTTCAGTCAATGAATGTTCAATAGAGAATAGGTGGTTGTATAAGACATGAAAGATAGGATGTTTGGAATAGTAAAGTGGTAAAAATACTAAATTTTACGAAACCTAGCTAAGAGGAAGAAGGGGAAGGTCCCGTTTTGTTTCATCCTTTTAATCTCGAAAACGATGGATCCTTGCGAACAGAATACTAGGTATAAAAGCTTACAAAACTCTATCAGATTATTTCTATTCAGTTTTTTTTTTCTTATTCTTGATGGTTTTAATCTTAATAGGTATATCTATTAACTAGCGAAAACCGGAAATTTACGAAAAAAAATTTTTCTGTGAACGTGCAGCAAATGACACCCTTCCACGTGCATTTGAATTTAGAAAAATGTACTTTCCCGCCCTAGAAATAACTATTCACCTGAAGTTCTTTGTAATATACACAAATGTATTGGTCACGTGATAGAGACAAACATTGGGAGTTACAAATAGAAACATAGAATAAACGTATTATTTATTACCCTAGGTAACCATAATAGTTATTCTAAAGATTAAAGTTTGGGGTTGTTAAAAAGATGACTTCTTCAATATCCATGATGAACAACTGTTCAACAAATAATTTCGTATTTTATTTTTACAACAATTTATTTATATATTTTATGGTTACAAAGATGTATATACAGGGAAGGACCAAATTAATGATCCATAGAGTTCTCGACTAAAATATTACAATTTGAAAATACCTGTTGTTGTGAAAACGTATCAACAAGTACTGACCTCATTTCAACTAAAAATTGTTAAAATTATTTTTTGTATTAAATTAAAATGCATATTTATTGTATAACTGTGTAGAAAATTTAAAATTCTTGGCACTAGAAAATGTCCACGGTGCAAATGAGGCTGCAGAAAAGTTTCCAAAAAGTGACTGCCAATAGTTAATCAAGATGCTGACACAGAGGAATTAGAACACCCTCCATATTTTGACAGAAGACAAAGAATGTGATGTGGAAATAAATACACTGTATTAGTGATGACAAAATTCGTGTGCCAAACAAAGTTATTTATAAACTAGTCTTTGTACTGTTTAATTGATTTTAGATCTTAAAATCTATTCCTAAGTAACATATCAAAAACTATCAGCAGAGGATGACTGGTAGGAAATGTTATCTTTCATTTGACAGAGAGTAATCGTTTTTGAGATATAAAGGAAAGACCAAAAATGGGAGCCTTGTATCTAGGTTCAGGGATTTTAGTATTTCTACCACCTAACAACGCCAAACATATTCCCGAAGAAAAAAATTAAACTTTTTTTTAACAAAACCCTGTTGTATTTATTATAAAGGATATAAATTATACCACAAATCAAAATATCACTTTTTATGTAATAAAAAACTTTTTAAATAGGAAATATGTCTGAAGGTGGTTTACCAATAATTGAAGTTTAATACAGGCAAAATGAAGTAAACCAAAATTCTTAGATAGTATAATAACATATTCTACCCTGAAAAGAAGCAATATGTGCTCTAACAAAAGTTATTACCTATCTCATTACCCATAGACATATAAATTTGACTTTGTAGTTTTCTTTTTCATGTGATTGTGTTGTGTTTTGGCAAGTGTTTTATTTGAAATAACTAATGTTGAATTTTTATCATCTCTATTTAAATAGATATTTACAATATCATCTATTGTCATTTAAATAGGTGCAATGTGTGGAATATACAATACTTATTGTTATTTGCATCAATGCTTGGAGAACAAGTGCATATTATACAGATAAATTAATTCAATGAAAAAAAGATGTTTATCACTGAATTCACCTTTTTCAAATATAACTAATAATTATTCCTTTAATATTATGAATTATCCCATCATGATTAAGATACTTTGCACAGAGAATTTAAATATTGGGAAATAAAAACTCCCTTGAGCGGACCCTATAAACTGGCAACTCTGTTATCAGTTTCCTGCTCTCAGTAATACCAACTCTCTGTGGTTTTCACAGCCACTTGTGCAAACAGTATTGGAAAGTATTCGATAGCCGATATTGCATACTACTATATTATATGATCTGGCATTTACAATTGCCTCTCCTTCAATAACAGTCCTAAATTTTTTAGTTCAACTAATATACTTTATAAGTTCTATCAAATTTAACTTTATTTCAGACAGAAATAGAATAAATATTCATATTTTATTAAAAGATAAAAGTAACTAAAAAAAAAAAAAGAATTTATAGATTGTTATTTATCAAATAACAAAACATTAATTTTTACCTAAAAACTATTGAAATAAAATACAGAACTGTTTAGAAGCAAATATGTAAACCAATGGAAGATCTAAAAATATTTGTCTTTGGGTAGCCTCAATGTTAAGTAAGATGGTGCTGCAGTCTTAAAATATATCCAAATTAAAACAATTATTATGGTATACAACCCTACCCACTTAGTATTTAAAATAGCAATTGCATAAAATCATCGTTAACCCATTGTTGAAAAAGGATACAATATGTAAGTTATAAAAACTCCTGCCATCACTTGATAATAATTTTCACTTTTGTATTTATTTAAGACGATACCAAGATTTTTAGCATCTTCAATATTCCATGGAATTCTTATATGTTGACTTTCTTCTCTAAAAAATAAATGATTAGCTTTTCATATTTGTATACAAGATCAATAGTCTTACTCAACATTAATAAAATTAATAGAATTTCAAAGAAAATTCATTTTATCGCAAATATACAATAAAATTAAACAGATAATTTGAACAACTTGTACAATTTTACTCAAACTAAAACTACAAGTAATTAAAATTGATATGTATATTTTACCACTTACTTGGATACCTGTGGAAAATTGCTATAGACTAGAAACAAAGCAAATAAGGATGACAAAAATATTACTATAACCGATATAGTGGCAGTTCTTGTTGAAATTGAATCCCTTAATTGTACACCTACAAATATATAATTTATAAATAATTAATTCAATATTAGGTATATTAAATATAGGTATTTTGAAGGGACACACAAATACCTCTCCTGGTTAGATTTACAAGGTTAAACATTTCTCTGGATAGTACGGGATTAGGGATGGGTCGAAGGGACCTTCTGTAAGATCGTCTGCCCCTTAATGGGAATCTCGATTCAAAAGGGCAAGAAAACAAATCTGAGGTAGAACTTATTTCTTGGCACTGTGTGCAATTATCACCTGAAACTCTTGAAGTCATTTTTGATCGTTCAGTGTTGGTTAATATCATTTACTTTAATTGTATTTTGTATCAAATATCCATTACAATTAGAAAATAAATGGGAGAAAATATTTTTTTTGGTAGTGACTAGACGTAAAGTTCAAAAACATGCAACATTTTTATGTGACGTTGAGTGCGCTTGCGCGAGACACGTATGATTTGAATATCAGTGTTGCCAATAATGAAATTCGAAAAATTCTAAACCGAAAACATTAACAAATTTAGTTTTAGCGTTTATAAAATACCAGGACACGATAATTTTACTAATTTATTAAGAATTTATTCTTTATTTTACACTATGGAGTGTAGAGGTATTTTATTCAAATTAAATCGAAGATGTAGGAAAAATAGTAGGCAACCCAACTTACCATTCAAATAACGTAAATGAGAATAGGCAACCGATATTACAAATATGGTTAGATCGTTGTCTGTATACATTTGTCTGTGTGTAATGCACATACTTTAGGCATTTCTTTATAAGCTTACTACAACCACATACTTTGATTTTCTTTACTATACGGCGCAAGAGAGAGGTCCGACACGCCCAACATAGGGCCCGGCCATTTTGAACCCTATGCAACAGTTTATAGCTAAAGAATCAGATCGCTCACTCTGCGTCGGCACTTTTGATCTCAATGTTCCAGTTTATACACTGCGCAACTCGGATAATACAACATATAACAACCGCCTATAATAAAACAGCAGTCTTCTGCGTATCCTAAATTTGTATCCCTGGAGTGGTTCTTATTTTGAAACTTTCAACTGGCCCGAGTGAGCTAACTGATTCTTTAGCAATAATCTGTGACTCAAAAAATAATATTCACTGACAGTGACAGCCGCAAGCAAAATATCCACATACTTTGATTTTCTTTTACTATACGGAGAATGGTCGCACTGCGCAGCTTTCTGAGTGCCTTTTAAAAGGAGATAGAAAACTCCGCCATTTTGAACCCTTATTACGTGTTGCCTACATCTTGGCGCAATATTTTTAATAGGTGCGTTTTAATCATCCGCTTCTGCTTCGGAATTGTCAGTTTTCTTGTTTTAATCTAACAGGTTAAAACGACTAAACCGACAATTCCGGAAGCAGAAGCGGATGATTAAAACGCACGTGATATTTTGCTTGCTGCTGTCAGTGTCAGTGAATATTATTTTTAAAGTCACAGTTTATTGCTAAAGAATCAGTTAGCTCACTCGGACCAGTTGAAAGTTCCAAAATAACATTCACTCCAGGTATACAAATTCAGGATACGCAGAAGACTGCTGTTTTATTGTAGGCGGTTGTCATATATTGTATTATCCGAGTTGCACAGTGTATAAACTGAAACATTGAGATCGAAAGGGCCGACGCAGAGTGAGCGATCTGATTCTTTAGCTGTAAACTGTGTCACAGGGTTCAAAATGGCCGCGCCCTATATTGGGCGTGTCGGACCTCTCTCTTGCCTCGTATAGTAATCAAAGTATGTGAAAATATCAGATCCGTTTTAATCATCCGCTTCTGCTTCCGGAATTGTCGGTTTAGTCGTTTTAACTTGTCAAATTAAAACAAGAAAACCGGCAATTCCGAAGCAGAAGCGGATGATTAAAACGCACCTATTAAAAATATTGCGCCAAGATGTAGGCAACACGTAATAAGGGTTCAAAATGGCGGAGTTTTCTATCTCCTTTTAAAAGGCACCCAGAAAGCTGCGCAGTGCGACCATTCTCCGTATAATAAAAGAAAATCAAAGTATGTGACTACAACATACTTGGTTACAGTATTGTGGTTACTGTGGTGACATTACGCATACCATGGTTTCCCTATTATTGAATGTCATATGTCAAATTTAATTTAAGTTTGGGGATTTCTAAGCGGAATTTGAATTTTAGAAATTTTAGTATGTTTTGACTTTGTTATTTTTTATTATAGTATGTTCTAGTAAGCTTATAAATAAATGCCTCGTTAGATATAGCAACATATGCTTTGGTAACATGTAACCAAAGCCGAGTAACCAAACGTTATAAAGAAATGCTCTGGTTACAGAAGTATGTTCTGGTAAGCTTATAAAGAAATGCCTTTTTATTACTATACGGGGCAAGAGAGAGGTCCGACACGCCCAACATAGGACGCGGCCATTTTGAACCCTATGACACAGTTTATAGCTAAAGAATCAGATCGCTCACTCTGCGTCGGCACTTTTTATCTCAATGTTCCAGTTTATACACTGCGCAACTCAGATAATACAATATATGACAACCGCCTATAATAAAACAGCAGTCTTCTGCGTATCCTGAATTTGTATCCCTGGAATGGATGTTATTTTGGAACTTTAAACTGGTCCGAGTGAGCTAACTGATTCTTTAGCAATAAACTGTGACTCCAAAAATAATATTCACTGACACTGACAGCAGCAAGCAAAATATCAGGTGCGTTTTAATCATCCGCTTTTGCTTCCGGAATTGTCGGTTCAGTCGTTCTAACCCGTCAGATTAAAACAAGAAAACCGACAATTCCGAAGCAGAAGCGGATGATTAAAACGCACCTATTAAAAATATTGCGCCAAGATGTAGGCAACACGTAATAATGGTTCAAAATGGCGGAGTTTTCTATCTCCTTTTAAAAGGCACTCAGAAAGCTGCGCAGTGCGACCATTCTCCGTATAGTAAAAGAAAATCAAAGTATGTGGTGTAATGACTGTATAAACTTTACGTAGAGCAGAGACAGAAGTTAGAAAGGCTTTTGTCTTCCACTTTATACAACTTGACAGTTTTGTTGGGGAGCTAACCGAAGTGAACGCAATATATTGGCGCATAAAATTATTTTATGTGCCAATAACAATTTCCCGGAAATAGTTTAATAAATTGTGAATAACTGTTGAAATTTGGTAGAATTATGTTTTGGGATATTAATATCTGTTTAAATAATTATTTTTAGTCCAGAAATAGTTACGATTGCCCGATTCCACCGGTAACAATTTAAAATGATATTTTTATTATCTCTTCTCACATACATAAGGTCTTTGTCTTTTCCTTTGCATCGAAAGTGTAGCACTGAGCTACGCCACTTCTGAAAATATCGTTCCATCCATACAATTTGTATAAATGGAACGTTATTTTCAGAAGTGGTGTTACACTTACGATGCAAAGGAAAATACCTTTTGATTACTATACGGGGCAAGAGAGAGGTCCGACACGCCCAACATAGGGCGCGGCCATTTTGATTCCTATGACACAGTTTATATCTAAAGAATCAGATCGCTCACTCTGCGTCGGCACTTTTGATCTCAATGTTCCAGTTTATATACACTGCGCAACTCGGATAATACAATATATGATAACCGCCTATAATAAAACAGCAGTCTTCTGCGTATCCTAACTGATTCTTTAGCAATAAACTGTGACTCCAAAAATAATATTCACTGACACTGACAGCAGCAAGCAAAATATCAGGTGCGTTTTAATAATCCGCTTCTGCTTCCGGAATTGTAGTTTTAGTCGTTTTAACCTGTCAGATTAAAACAAGAAAACCGACAATTCCGAAGCAGAAGCAGATGATTAAAACGCACCTATTAAAAATATTGCGCCAAGATGTAGGCAACACGTAATAAGGGTTCAAAATGGCGGCGTTTTCTATCTCCTTTTAAAAGGCACTCAGAAAGCTGCACAGTGCGACCATTCTCTGTATAGTAAAAGAAAATCAAAGTATGTGTCTCATCTACATTTCACTGAAAATATTTTAGACATTATAACGTAAACTGGGGAATATATCTGGATAATATCTCATTAATTTTAATTAAGTTATAATTATTTAATATTATGCATAGCGCGCGAACATATATTACTATCATGATACCACATACCTACTTTGATTTTGTATGTGCATGATACTATTACTCGAGAAGATAAGCTCACTTGACGATCCAATTTCGACCACATTTGCGCATGACGTCACCCGTTGACAACAGTTATAATATTGATATATTATTTTTATAATATTAATATATTATTAAACTAAATATTTTTTCGAGTTAATCTTATTTTAGAGCTTTTGAAGTATAGACATTTTCATTTTACAATCAATTTAATATTTTTATAAAAATTACGGATGAATGTAAAAAAGGAGAGGTAAAAATTAAAAATATTTGAATAAACAGTAATAAATCGTCTTAAAATTTAAATATCAACAGAAATTTGGAAGTATTGATTCAATTTGCAGCAGTATGTTTTTGGTTGTTATTGTTTGAACAACCCACCACTGCACAGTATACCATAGTAAATGTTTAAGACAATGTTTTTAAATATAGCATATAAAAATCTTTACGCACGTTTACTTCTAAAACCCAACAAACCAAAAAAAAACAACATTAAATAATTAGTAATACACGCAAAACCGCTTTGCGCCGTATAGAACTGGCTGTTGCTGAGTCGGGTAGTCTCCCAGTGACGTCAGGCGTGCGAGAGAGATGGGCTGATCGCATGCGCGTGGGTTTATCTTCTCGAGTAATATTACTATCAGTTCATAGTTGAGAATAAGTCCAGAGCGCACCAGTGAAAGATTTAACAAAAGCGTTTTGTCAGGTCATTTTCATCTTTTAGCTGGGTGGCTTCGGGACGGTCTGGGCACCGCTTGAGCTGCCCAAGTTCGTTGTCTCACCCCGCCCCCATGGCTCCCTAACAGTAACGTCGAGACACGTAGTGTTTTGGCTGTATTTTTACCAGATCCATGATTCGAATGGTAGATTGTTTGTGTTAATTCGCCAGCGCGTTTGCGTTTGCGTTTGCGTTTGCGTTTGCGTTTGCGTTTGCGTTTGCGTTTGCGTTTGCGTTTGCGTTTGCGTTTGCGTTTGCGTTTGCGTTTGCGTTTGCGTTTGCGTTTGCGTTTGCGTTTGCGTTTGCGTTTGCGTTTGCGTTTGCGTTTGCGTTTGCGTTTGCGTTTGCGTTTGCGTTTGCGTTTGCGTTTGCGTTTGCGTTTGCGTTTGCGTTTGCGTTTGCGTTTGCGTTTGCGTTTGCGTTTGCGTTTGCGTTTGCGT